TATGAGTAACTCTGTAACTGCTGGGGAGCGCGTACGTGCCGTTTGTCGCCTGCCAAGAGAGCCTTCCAAACGTAGGTACGGTTCTCCAGTAAAAGTCTTGTTGGTTTTGCTTTTTTGGATATATCTGGTCCTATATTATGTTCAAATGCATAAGTATGAACCCGAATTGTGTGTATGCACATTTACCACTAGACTGTAAAATTGCATCCTTGTATGCCAAATACTTTCCGAGATTTTCACCAAAAACCTCATTTTCTGCCGTTTGGGGTATTCTGGCCGCAGTCTGCCTGGGATCGCCTATGACATCAGTAGAGCCATCTAACGAGAGGAACGCGGAAACACAGAATCATGAATGAATCGAGCGCGTAGTAAACGGTGCATGAAAGGGAGACTCGGCAGAGGCTATCCGGGTGGCCGGCGGGCGGCGCGCCCTTAGGCAACGGCTGACCCTTCGGACCGCGTGGGGTCAGAGGTCGCGCTCGAGAGTCAGGAAGTCTCGGCTCTAGGTTTCAGCGCTGTGCAATCAGGAAGGGAGGGGAGGATAGCGCTAGCCCGACTGACTGGTATCTCGGCTGATTCGTGTGGGGTGGAAGGGAGCACAGAACGGGATGGTGGTTAGTGATGGATGGTGAGATGGTGGTTAGGTTAGTGCGTACTGCGTAGAACGTAGCTGAACATGCATTGTTTTTCATGACAAACAACATGCAGCATAATGTGCGGGATTATGCCAGAACTGATACAAAAAGGGAACTATATTTCGGGCGAGGGAGTGGATAGGTGCCGTGACACAGCATGGCGAAGACGATGCTGCCAAAATCGGGATGCTTTTTTGCCCCCATTCTTTTACCCCTAACATGGAGCGCTTGACCCGAACTTAGAGGTCCCCGCCTGACCTTAGACCTTAAAATCGCACCCGTCAAGTGCGCCACCTTTTCTTCAGGGGCGCTCTTCCTGGTTGCCTCTGTTCTTACCAATAACTAAAGCAAATCGAACGTGTAATTAAAAAGGCAGGCACCTCAAATACAATTTTATTCACACCCGCTCGTGTGCATACTTGTTTTGACCTATATCTTCTCATATCATTATATATCACTTCAGTGCTTAACCCTCAACAGACTTTTTGGTTTTCTGCATATACCCAGGCCGAGGGGGGGGGGGCGATTACGACCCCTCTCCGTCTTTTCGCTCCTAATTGAGCTAGCGCCTTCCGGATAAAACTGAGCGCGTGTGTCGTATGAGATGCAGCAGCTGGTGCCCGAGTTGAATGTCTCAGGTCAAACGATAAACTCTGAGGTCAGAATAAGTGCTCCAAGTCGCGGGATCGGTTTTTGGTAAACAACTTCACCATAGTGGATACAGAGCCAAGGTAATGGCACCATCGAGTTTTGCATGCTCAAGCGCGTCGAATAGTATACGCTTTGTTTTTGTTGAGGTCAATTTAAGGTGTTCACCTCAGGTCATGATCAGGGCAGAGCCACTCAGTCCACGAAGCTGGCCCAAGGAGGTCGTATCGCTTATTTGATTCGGTAGGTCCTCACAAGTCATTTGGTGGCTTCCCGACTCGCTAGCTCAATTTGATCGGGACTTTTTTTGGTGAAAACTCCTGTGACCTTAGTGACGTCATACATGAAGTCGCCTAAGATCAAGAATGCAAAAGGAAATGCTGGGGCTCGTAAAGATTGTATAATATCACGAATTAATGCGCTTGAGATAGCTTTAGACGGCTCCCGGCGCCAAAATAACAGTTTTCATATTTCCCCATTGATTAATAATCGTGAAGTTGCGTGACCGACCTGACTTCAGGTGACTCTTAAGAAAAATACGAGATAACTACATTCAAGTTGTGAGGCCTCTAGGAGATAGTATTATGTAGATCATATAAGCTTCATTACCCAGTGAAAGGTCCCCTGGCACGAAGGGTGTTGCGACGTCGCAACATTTTGGGACCTTACAGAGGTTCACTTTTGACGTCATTGGTCAACGGCCTGACCTTAACCTTCGCACTTGTAAGAGGGTGTCGAACAGACGCCCCACTCTCAGTTTTTCGCAAATAACTCGCGCAAAAAGCGGCTGTTCGCGACGAAACTTTCAGTACCCTCAAGTTAATCAATATTACGCCTACCCTTAAAATTCTTATGACCCTGACTCAAAAGACCTTTGACTTGTGGCCTGTTTTCCGAGACCATGCTTGGCCGGAATCGCGATTTAGCGTATTTCGGCTCACATTATGAGCGCGTTTATTGTCTTTTGTGGCTTTAAGCGATCAAACATGTGAAAGGATGTTGATCCCATGGATTCTAGTGGGTATCAAGGTTACCTACGTGAAGGTCAGTCAGGTCACTGGCCTTTGATGACCTTAGTTCACTGCTTCGAGTTCTGCATGTTTCTATGGTAGATTTTGGAGTTGATTTCGCATTTAGAAACCGTTTGAGCATTTACGAAGTAGTTTTGGTTCCCTCGTAACATGTGACCTGACCTGACCTGACCTGACCTGGACTAGATGCACGAAAACATCATCTGTGATAAAAGTTAACTTGAAATTCGTGATCAGCACCCCCGCAAAACCTTATAACAGCCTCACTTTAAGAAGCTCTAACAGGTCCCGATTTTCCCGACTTTTGAGTATATATTGACTTATCAACAAATGACCTAGGACCTTAAAATTGTGTATCAACGGCCTCCTCTCGTCACGGGCAACACGCTCTTTTTCCGCGAAGCTCTAGCTCGATCAGGGTCTGAACTGCAAAGGGGTCCAACGGACCCCCTCGGCCCCTTTATGCTAGACGCTGGCAAAACACCAATATGAGCGAGGGTTAAAATACAGCTGCTGTCATACAAATTCGGCTGGAATAAAAGGTCAGGTTTGCAAAATTTCAGCTCTCGCAGCAAATAGACATGTGGAGGCGGCACCCGTCTCCCCGCCCCCTCTTCTCCTCTCGGCCACTGCCAGCGAGGTTTTAAACGTATCATACACATTACAAAGCATCATATCAGATGACGCACCCGAGCAGCCATATGCACTGAAAAAAGCTTATTACCCACCCTAGTCTATCGGCACTAGAGATGTCAATCGGATACAAACTTTTTGGTATACCGATGCCAAACCGATACCAACTCGGTATTTGGTATTTCAATGCTAATGTGTTTGGTATTTTGTTGGTATCATGAACCCTTGCTAATGTTTAGGAAGCTAAGAAATCGGTAAAAAGTTGGGTATTTTCCTCATGTTCCCAAGTTGCTTTGGTTTCGGTATTTCTCCACGGTTTTGGTTGGTATTTGTAATTTGGTTTGGTATCGGTATTCCGATTTTCCGTAATTGACATCACTAATCGGCACCATAGCACATGGTCGAGACTGTCGTCAGCCACGGACGCGCACTCGACCAACCCTCCGAGCCCGTTGACTGCGGGTGACCTTGACATGTCAAGCCTGATCGGCCGCCGGCCGCTGTCGTGCGGCCGTTACACGCGGAGGGGAGGGAGACACAAAGCTCTACGTTATAGGTGACCTCTGACCTTTCCCTGCGCCCTGGTCACTGACCCCGCTCCATGTCGCTGGGCGGTGGCATGGCGGTGGAAACCGGTTCTAGCCTCTACACATGCCACCATTCTAACGCTCCCCTCCCCACGCTACTACGCGGCGTGGAGTACGCTCGTGCGTAACTGGGCGGAGCAAGGGGGCACGCGATACAGGGGCGGAACTGGTTGCCCTCCCGCTCGCCGAGAGACCAACGACTAATACCCTGGAGAACCGTACATCAACTGCGATTGATCGAGAACTTCTGGGGCCAGGATAAGCAGAATGCATATCAAGGAGGATAACAAGCGAAGAGTGACGTCCATTTAAAGAGCATAATCCACCATGTGTTGCGTCAGATGGACCTGAAGGTGCCGTGCAAACTGCAAGATGATGAGAGGTTGTGTCAGCGCGTGCGGATTGCAATAGTTTACTATGGAGCTCTTTAATAGTGGAGATCGGATTTTCAAATTTCATGTGATCACGTATCGTTTTTTTTTTTTTTTTGTTCACAAATATGACTTCGGAGGAAAATCCCATAAAATCCATAAAATGCAAATCCCAAAAAAATTAACATAATCCCAAATATTTTAGACATCTCAAGTTTGGAAAACGATCCGTCGGGAAAAGCGGCACTCAGGCCCAAGATACACTCGGTCAGACCTCCCGCTTAGGGGGTCTCCGTGTTCGGGCCGTGCTGGAGAGACTAGACTCCAAGAAGCGGCTGCCATCGAGAGAGCGAAAGTGGCCGTGCAGGATACCGTGCTGAGTGGAGATCCGGCGTTTTTGCCGGCAAATCTGACTTTCATTCCTGCAGCTCTAAAGAAGCTGGAAAAGGCTGCGCAGTCGGTTCACGGTGCACTGTCCCTGGTGGACAAATCGAAAAAAAAATATGTAGTCGGATACCAGGTGAGAAAGGGCAGAAAGTAGAAACTATAGGCGACATTCGAAGAGTTCTCCCGAGAAATCCGGATATCGCAGTGCTAAATGTCATCAATAGCACCCTGCGGGAAGAAGATTCCAGTGCGGTGCTACCGCCCACAAGGACGCCGGAACACATGGCCTGCTTCAAATACGCGCCAGTCACTAGCATTGAGGTCGAGTCAAGATTGTTTTCCCTCTACCGCGATGTGCAGACGGACAAAAGACGACGTCTCGCCAAAGAAAATCGGTCGCGGCTTATGGCATCCAGGCTGTTTTACAATCGATCTATCCAGAATGAAGAGTGAACAACTGTCAGTGGAAAAGGTAAGGTCCGTGTCGCATAAAAAAGGCCGAATTATGCAGGAAAAAAATGTGTGCTCCAATTAACACGTTTTCACGACTTCGGCACATGTTTTGTCATAATTTCAGTCGCAAAAATGGCATATTTTGGCGAAGAAAAAAATAATGTAAAGATCATATCTCTAACTACTAGTGCCATTTGTTAAGTGGTGTTCTGTCAGACATCTGTACCAGTGCTCCAATGACCAGTTTAAAATACAAAAAAAAAAATATTGAAGCACAAACCTTGTCCTGGAGGTAAGGGCATCCCCGATGTTTGTCCTCACGTTTTCCATGCCATCAATGCCCAAGTTCTTGGTGACAGTTGGTCCTCGAACAGCGGCATCAGCTCCGCTGAGATGGCGTGCTCGCGAAGAAAGAGCATTCTGTCGAGCAGCAGCAGTCCTTCCAAAACCGGCTGCAGACAGGCCTGCAGAGCGGTCAGGAATTCGACACACCGCAGCTGAGCTCCGTATTGTTTAAAGACATCGTTCGCCGTGCACTGCAGCAGCCGTTGGTCGCAGTCAGCGTTGTCGTCGGCGGCCCCCAACATGGCGGCCGCGTACTCTGCGAAGTTGGCGTACCGGTGCGTGCCGTGGCGGCGCCGATCCGAGACAGTGAGGCCGGTCCGCTGGGCGACCACCTCCAGCAGAGCTCTCCAGCCGACAGCAGTAGCATGCCGCGCGTGATCGGCGGCCGACTGGTGGCACCAGGCAGACACCGACTGCTGGCAGGCCAGGCGGCGTCCGAAGTGGCCCAGCCGCACCGTCGCCAGCCGCCGGCTCAGCAGTCGACCGTCCGCCGCTTTGTGGTAGCAGCACGAGAGCAGCAGCAGTGCGCGTGCCTCGGGCAGCCGCACCAGCAGCCGCAGCAGCTGTGGGGCGAGGTCTCCGCAGCAGTGCAGGCCGGTCAGACACCAGCCGCCAGTCGGCTGCTGAGTGGCGTCCCGGCAGGCGCACCGGTCGGCGGCGAACTCGGCAGCCAGCCGCTGCAGCCGCTGCTGACCCGAGTCCGAGTCGGCAACCTCGCAGCGCACGATCCGCCAGCAGGCGGGACAGCCGGCGGCGCCCGACTCAGTCAGCCTCCGCCGCCGGCGGCCAGCGGCCTCCAACAGCGACGCGTCTCGCTCCACACCAAGGATACGCAGCTGCGTCGACTGCCGCAAACTCTCGGCCAGGTGACCCTGCCGGAACCCCCGCGGCGAGTCATCACCCAGCAGCAGACTATCATCACAGTTCCATGTGGAGTGTGACTGGAGTCCTCTGACCTCGCCATTCAGTACTCACCAACCCTGCGCCGACGTCCATCACCAGATGTAAGCCTGTCCGAGTGCACAGCCCGGTCACGGCTGGCACCATCCGACGCAACTCGTGCCGCTTCTTGGCCGAGACTCCGCGCGTCAGCGCCTCCGGCAGGGGACTCTCGTTGGTCGGCTCATCGCACCGCAGCTGCCATCGCCGCAGACGGCCACAACGGCCGACAAACGAAGCCAATCCCGGTGGCCAGTTGTCCTGCAGGATGAGCAGCGGGCATAGTAAGCTCAAAGTTGTAAGTAGATCATAGCATGCAGAAATTGTGGGGGGGGGGGGGGTGAAATAGGGATTATAATTACCTACCTTAGGAGTTCCCTCCGCTACATCATGTAATACTTCCACAGCTGCATCTTTGCCAAATTCAAACCAGTGTACAGGCATTAAATCAAACACATTTCCAGATAACATCTGGGTCATCTTGAAATCAAAAAGCCATGAATAATGAGAGAGCAAATGCTGAATTTCTTCCACGTATTCCTCAATATTTTCAGGCTCCATTGCACTGAAAAGGTCAGACAACTGTCAAGTTACATTAACTTGGCTGTTGCTGAGGTATTTTTTTTTCACCTGCCATTTGCCAGGAGGGGGGGGGGGGTAAACAGTAAACACCCCAAACCAGTAACTCAAGAACCAAGAGGTGCAGCGAAACAGACCAGGCAGCAAATGAAAGAGTGTGACAAGACAATTCAGATGAGTACTTGAAAGTTGAAATTTGAGTTCACAGGTTGGATCAAGGTTAGGTCAAACAGCTGAAATTGGGCGTTCAGTAGCATGGACCACAACTTTGTACAGTACATCTCTAGTCTTTATCTGTCAAGACTGTGCAAAATCCTTCATGTAAATGCTATGCTAGTGAGTAGTGACAGATTCATGTTGCCTGTTGGGATTCAGTTAAGCAGAGGCCAGGGTCAAGACATGGGCCCTGTTTCACCGGTGCACCGGTGAATAGCAGCACGCTGCTATCACCGCGGTGATAGCAGCACGCTACTATCAAATTGCGCGAGCTGACGTAATGTGATGACATCACACTAATGACGTTTCGTGTAATCCGTGAGCTGCGTTTGGAACAGAGTTGCTGTCTCGTTGAATTGCGTTTGATACATTTGTTTGATCGCACGGCCGCAAAGATGCTAGCAGCAATATCTGATGACATCACACAGATTGACGACGGCATGGTTTGTTGATGTTTCCATGGAAACCCAATTTGACACGTATGATAGCAGCGTGCTGCTATCACCGGTGAAACAGGGCCAAGGTCAGGCCTATTATATCCCTTAAAATCAACTACTGTTTGCAGCATGACACATGTTTTATGGGAAATTTTGGGAGTAAAACACAACAGTGACAGTCATTTTATCATCAGGTAAGTGTTCGGTGGAAAAAGATAATTTAAGGATATGCATGCATCATGGTTGTGCAGTAAGTAGTCACAAGAATTTGCTGACATTCCGATCAAGATTTTTAAAATCGTCAAGCAATAATCCTTACCTTACCTCACCTTACCGATAGCGGGAATTTTGCCCGATCTCACCGAGCTCGCGGGCATGTAAGGACAAGCACGAAGTTAATCAGGGATGGTGTAGAAGATGTCTTTCCAGTGGTTATCGAGGCGGGCCTTGAACTGGTTGGTGGAGGACGAGAGGACCACGTGCGAGGGGAGCGAGTTCCAATCGTTGATTGCTCGGACTGACAGGGTGTTCCTTCAGACTCTGGAGGTGGCCTGCGGCTTCTTGAGCTTCAGTGGGTGTCCTCTGGTAGTGGTGTTGTTCGCCAGCGAGAAGAACTGATCAAGAACGACGTCAAGTCCTCCGTTTATCAGTTGGTAGATGGTTATCATGTCCCCTCGGCGTCTCCGGTAGTAAAGGCTGGGGAGCTTCAGGTGGCAGAGGCGCTGTGGATATGGCAGATCCTTGATGTTTTGGACGAGCTTTGTGGCCCGTCTCTGCACTCTTTCCAGCAGCTTTTGGTCAGCTCTGTTGAAAGGGCCCCAGATGACATTTCCGTACTCCAGATGAGGACGCACGAGGGTCTTGTAGAGGCGCGGGAGAGACTTTGAATCGATGTTTTCGAAGGATCTCCTGATCAGTGCCAGCATTTGGTTGCCCTTCGAAGCGGCCGAGGCAGCTTGCTCACGAAATTTCAGAGCTGAATCAACATGTACGCCCAGGTCCTTTTCCGCCAGGACTGCCATTTAAATTTCCAGCCACATGTCGACCATGTTACAGCAAAGTGTACGGGCATTCTCGTAGGTTTAATGCACGCCAAACACACCATACCAAAAAGTACTCTTGTAACCATCGTGCAAGGCCTTGTCACGTCTGTTGTCAGATATTGCATCTCAGTGTACGGCACGTGTAACGCGACGCAGCTCCATAGAGTGCAAAAGCTGTTGAACTTTGGAGCTCGAGTCGTCAGCGGCAGGCGGAAACATGACCACATATCTGATGTGTTTCGACAACTTAACTGGCTAGACGCGCCAAGCCTTGTCATGTACCACCGGCTGTGCCTGGTTCACACTGCGATAGCCACGGGGAGACCTGAGAGCGTAGCTGGTTGCATCGGTGGAGTCGCTGAGCACCAATACCAGACACGAGGCTCCTCGCAGCGCGCCCTAACGAGAATACGGACGGAGCTAGGTCGCCGCCGTCTGTGCTACAGTGGCGTGCAGGAGTACAACCGGCTGCCATTTGACGTGAACGCTCGGGGCTTCAGGTCCCGGCTGAGACGCCATCTGTTGCGCGTCCAGCACGGCGGTGTTCGAGCGCCGTGATCTGCGCGTTGTGCAATAGTCATTTGGACGTGACGATATGTGATTGTAGATGCATGCACTGTACTGGTACTGTAGCGCCTACCTACCTGTACATACGTTTTTTAATAATATGACGTGTGACGACGAAAAACCATGATTTAATGGATTTGTTACGAAATACATTCTGATTCTGATTCTGATTCCGAGTCGGACTGCTTAAGAGCGGTTCCTCTCATGTTGTACACATGACGGCCATTGCTGGACCCAATATGGAGAGAGCTGCACTTTGCCGCGTTGAATGACATCTGCCAGGTGTCGGACCAAGTGGTGGCTGTGTCAAGGTCCTTCTGGAGCTGGATGGGCCCAGAGATAGATGACACGTTGAGGTAAATCTTCGTATCGTCCGCAAACAGCTTCACAGAACTCTGTACTGCTTCAGGGAGGTCATTGATAAACAGGATGAAGAGTGTAGGACCCAGCACGGAGCCTTGGGGAACTCCACTGGAGACAGGGGCCCATGCAGAAGCCTGTCCACCAACGACAACTTGCTGCTGACGACCAGTCAGGAATGCCCTCACCCAGTTCAGCAGTTTGCCCGTCACACCGTAACTCTGGAGCTTGCTTAGTAGGCGCTCGTGTGGGACGGAATCGAAGGCTTTCTGGAAGTCCATGTACAGAGTGTCAATGGGATCGCCTTGCTCAATGATCAGGCTCCATTCGTTGATGACCTCTAGAAGCTGAGTGTTGCACGATCTTCTGGACCTGAACCCATGCTGCCCTGAAGCCAGCAAGTCACCCGCCGACAGATGTTCCATGAGCTCGTCCTTTATGATTGATTCGAGGATTTTACACGGAATGGCAGTGAGACTGACTGGCCGGTAGTTTCTTGGCAGTTGCCGGTTTCCCTTCTTGAATATGGGCACGATGGTCCCGAGAGTCCAGTCATTTGGCAGGCAGGTGTTGTCCAGGGACTTGGAGAAGATGATGGCCAGCGGTTTGGCCAAAAACTCAGCTCCTTCCTTCAGTACTCTCGGATGGATGTTGTCAGGGCTGGGTGAGCTTGATGTCTTGAGCCCCTTCAGCTTACTTTTCACAATGTCCTCGGTGATACAGACTGACTGTAGGCTGCACCCATTGGCGACAGGGAAGGGCGGAGGAACAGTGGAGAGGTCCTCAGCTGTGAAGACTGATGTGAAGTACAGGGTGTCTCACAAAAAGTGTACATATTTGTTTTGTAAATAGCTCCGTAAGTTAAAAACATACGTAAAAAACACAAATATCGCTGGAAAGCACAAAGCTTGCAAATTTATTCGCATATCATTTGCACGTCTTTATATTCACATACCGAATCAGTTTCCCTGCATACTCTAGCTATGCGCTCATTTTTTAGATGCTCAAAATGACAGCCTTTGCGCTCAGCGCACGTGGTGGCGCGCCTCATGGTCTCCTGAGCTACACGGGCGCATGTCTCCATGGTTATCCCGCGTATGACTCCTCTGATGGCCTTTTTGAGCTCGTCTAGCGTGTGCGGCGCCTTCACGTACACGACATCCTTCAGATACCCCCATAGATAGAAATCCATGGGGGTGAGGTCGGGTGAGTGGGGTGGCCAGCTGTGGGGGGCCCGCCTGGAGATCAGCCGGCTTCCCAGGCGCTCGGTCGGCCAGGCCAGTGGCTCTTGACGTGTGCGCTGGAGCGCCGTCCTGCTGGAACCATTGCAGGCAAATGGTGTCCGCGCACTTGCTGTTGAGAGACCGCCAAAAGCGCTTCAACACTGCTAGATAACGGTCTGAAGTCACCGTCACTGGTTCTCCGTCACCGTCTTCAAAGAAGATCGGTCCGATTATGCCCTGGGCGCTAAGCGCGCACCAGAGGTCACTTTTGGAGAATGTAATGGTAATTCCAAAGTCTTCTCTGGCGGGTGTTTGCCCCAGTGTCTGTGGTTTCGACGATTAGGTAAGCCGTGAAGGTAAAAGTGTGCCTCGTCGGACCACCAAATGTTGCCGATGAAACTGGGGCAAGACGAGCACTTTCCTAAAAACCAACGGCAAAACTCCAACCGTTGTAGGCAAGCAGACTTGGAAAGCTCTTGAGATGTTGATAGCCTGTATGCCTTAAGCTTCAGGTCCTTCCTAAGAATCCGATGCGTGGAACAGCGGCTGAGTCCAACTTGTTGCGCAAGGTGCCGCACGGACACTCCAGGCATTTCCTCAACTCGCCGAATGACTTGTCCGATTTTCAAAGGTGTTCGGGCAGTTATCTTGCGGCCGCTGTTTCCAGTGTTTTGATTTCCGACTGTTCCGTGAGCCAAGAAATGTTCAGTAAGCCGTTTTATTGTGTTTGCCGGCGGTTTCTCTCTTATTGTAGAGAAATGAGCCCTAAATTTCCTCTGAGTCAATACCAGGGAACCGGTTTGAAGGTAAAATTTCACGATTATTTTCCTATCCTCTTTACTAAACTGTCTCATGACTCTCACTAACAAATTGTATGTGAAATAAATTTGCACGAGCTAAGCTTCAATTTAAGCCTGCATTTGACGTGAGCGCGTGCTTATATGCTGAAATATCTTCATTTTAAATCTGTACACTTTTTGTAAGACACCCTGTACTCGTTGAGGAGCTGAGCTTTTCCACGGTCATCGCTGATCAGTGCTCCCTTGTCATCCTGCAGGTCTTCAACCGCTCTCTTAGTCTTGAGCCTCGAGTTAGCATATCTCCAAAAGCACTTTGGGTCAGTTTTTGCCTCAACGATGAGCTTCCTCTCGAACTCCCTCCGCAGGCTCCTAGTAAGGGCCCGCAGTTCGTTCTTGCAGCGGCTGAAGCGAGCAAAGTCGATTGGGGTCTTTAGACTGCTTGTATATCCTCCATAGTTCTTCCTTTTTGTGCCTTAGTTTCAATGCACGTCAGTTCATGTACAAGTTTCTCTTCTTCCCATTCAGTTTAATTTTGGGCACTGTAATGTCCACAACCCTCTGCAGAGTCTCCTTGAAGAAGTCATAGGCACCATGCACGTTCCCATCATGCATGGCAGTCCAATTGACCTCAGAAAGGAGGACTTGCATCTGGTCATAGTTCCCTTTAGCAAAGTTGAGCTTCCCATCCTGAGGTAGCTTGCGAGTAGTGTAGCAGGTCAAAACAAATCTCAAGACCACATGGTCACTGTTGCCAAGGGGACAGGGGTGCTAGGTATCTCGTATCCCTCACCATGCCTTCCTCATTAGCAAGGACTAGGTCAAGCAGGCTGGGGAGCTGACCTTGTCGGTTCCCTGACGTGCTGGGTGAGATAACAGTCGTCCACCATCTCCAGGAATGAGTGAGATACATGTGAAAGCAGTTCCTGAGAGCTCAAAAATTCAAAGATATTAGATAGTAAATTGAATGTTCATGGTATTGGCAGCCTGACTCTGCCAAGGAGGAGCCTAATGACTGCTAAAGACCAAAGGGTATATAACACGGTATATAGAGAACTTACATATATAAAAACACTTCTAGGCCTACACCACGGTATATTGATATAGAGAACTGGTACCAAGAGCGAGCCTTCGTACCCATTCGTACCAGCCAACGCACCAGCTTCGTACACGCGCGCGTATAAGAGCACGTGCGTGCGTACTATATATGGCCATGGATGAGAGAATACTCCTCTATTATTCTCTCCTCCATGATATGGCCTTGCGTGCGTACCAAGGCTATAGAACTCCGTGCGTACACGCGTACACGGCATTCACCGCATTTACGGCCTTGATTTCAATATTTTTGACACGGTATATAGAGAGAACTATATGAGAACTATATGAGTATATGATTTTTGAAAAATCGCTCGATCACGCTCGATCATGCCTGAGCCCTGATCACTGAACTCTATAATGTGGAATGCGCATCGGCCGCCAAATGGTGTCCAACGGTGCCGCCATGTTGCGCAGACCAGAAAGCGGCCGCCGCCTGTGCTGGGGAATAGGGAATTCGGGACCTCGATTTACGTTTGCGGTCGCTGCATCCGTTACGCTCAAGCTATGTGGACACGGAACCCGGCATCTTACGCAGAATTGAGTGGAGAACAAGATGAAATCCTAAAAGCTATAAGGAACTAATACGTTAAACCCTTATAAGTCAATGGGGAAATATGAAAATTGTTATTTTGGCGCCGAGAATGATCTGAAACTATCTCAAGCATATAAAATCATGATTTCATGCACTCCTTGCAAGGTTCTATGCTTCATATTTGCATTGTTGCCCTTGCGTGACGTCATTTGTGACGTCACAAGGGTCACCATTTTTCTTCAATAACTCTCGATCAAATTGAGCTAGCGGGTCGGGAAAGCCACCAATGGACTCAGGAAGACCTGCCGAATCGAATGATATGCGACATGACCTCTTTCGACCAACTTCGTGACCTGGGGGTGCTGACCTGACCTTGACCTGAGGTCAACACCCTAAGTTGACCTGACCCGAACAAAAAGTATATCACTCGATGCACCTGAGCTAGCTGAACACGATGATGCCAAAATCGCGGCTCTACGGCCATTTTTGGCGAAGTTATTTACCAAAAACCGAACCCGTGCCTTAGATCACTTGACCTGACCTCAGAGGTCACCGGTTGACCTGAGACCCTTACAGCGGGTTCCTACCAGTCACTCTGCATTATAATTTGCCGCATACGACCACTTTACCGCTTAATTCTAGTTTAATTAACGGTGCATTAGCGAGGTGGGTTCAATCAACCCCCTCGGCCGGGGCAAATGTAGGTCAGGCGAGTGAATTTGAGGAATTCTGAAGATACGATCGTGTTCCCCACTCAATTCTGCGTAAGATGCCGGGTTCCGTATCTACGTAACTTGAACGTAACGGATACGGCGGCCGCAAACGTAAATCGAGGTCCCGAATTCCCTATTCCTCAACACAGGCGGCAGCCGGTTTCTGGTCTGCGCAATATGGCCGCCACCGTTAGACACTACGGCCAATAGGGTTGAAGCGGCATTGCTCCCCTGTGGCCCTGATGCACGTGCGTGTAACAAAATTAGGACAAATATGACGCAGCTTACTAACCCCACGTTCGATGTCTCTCGGACGGCGAAGATTCTACGTCGTCCGGCCACTCCCGTTCAAGGTCAGCGGGGGCTCGGCTGCGGTTATGGAACGTGATTGGCCGGACGGCGTAGAATCTTCGCCGTCCGAGAGACATCGAACGCGGGGTGTTGGTTTTCACCAGTGGTTTCCACTCTTAGGGTCTGTTCCCGTCGCTCCTCCCAAAAAATCTCGGATGAGGTTGGATGAGCTTGGAGGAGAGCCGTTTCAGAGGAGCCACGGGAACATTTTCGCGAGGAAATCAGCTGTTTGCGGGCTGTAACGGTCGGCGATTTATGGCGCGCAAACATAAATCAAGAGATAATAATCGCTTTCTAATAAAATAACCTTAGATTAATATCAAACATTACTATTTAAAGATATCCAATCGTCATCAATCACTAAAATCATTTCCACTTCCCTCAAATCTCATTTATAAACAATTCACATTTGTATTACGTGCGCCAAATATGTCTACGCAAGAGCCTCCTCCAAAAAACCAACTTTCGTTTGGGATGAGGGAGGAGGCAAATAGTGGTGGTGAGATGTGAAATCTAGATGAGCTTGGAGGAGCTTGGAGGAGCGACGGGAACGATTTTTTGAAACGAGAGGAGGTTAGAGGAGCTTGGAGGAGGTTAGAGGAGCGACGGGAACAAACCCTTAGTGTTTCCACTGAACTCTATTATTGATTTTATAGTTTCTTATAGGTATTTTGCTTATACTTATACCTTATGCCATAGCTCAAGGCTCCTGATCAAGGCCATCTAAAGATAGGTATCTGAAGCCGAAGGTAATAACTAGTTTCTTATATTTTGTACCAACGGTCAACTGTGCCAACTGCCAAAGGACGGCTTGCCAAGGCATAGGTATCAAGATTAGGTACCTACTCAATGCGATTTATAGTTCCAAGATCAAACAGCTTCATAGCTAGTTCCAAGTCAAGCATTACTTTAAAGTTTACAATGAAGTATTAGTTTTTGTTATGAAGCCCAGTTTAACTAATATGTTCACGATGAATGGCTTGAAGCTAATGGTAAAATCAGGGTACTAAAGAGTTGGTAAAATGATTGATTTGTTGCAAAAAATGAAAAAAAATCCATGCTGCAGATTAACAGCAAATAATCATGCTTATAGGCGGGGTCCTGCACTGTTTTCTGGGACGACGGTGAAAACAGGGCGCCTTGGGCGATTTGATCAAGGTTCGTGAAATTTACACGTGACGTTTGGCATATAGAAGGCCGATGGAGCGGGAGAAGTTCCAAATGTCACGTGACTAATATGCCCTCCGGCGCCCTGTTTTCACCGGCGTCCGTTTTCTGTGCCTATTTTCCTTGTTTTTTTTTTAAAGGCCTATAGTAGATCCTCAAATCAATATTAGCAGTTGATAAGAAGAGCTGCTATCAATACTTACTGTGGCTATAGCTATACCTACCTATTTGGTTGCAACTGATTTTAAGTAAAATAAAAATAATGACTACGTATTCTAATTCATTTATGTCAAGGTGTTGATGAAAAATTATATTTTGCCTTGGCCTTCAGTCCTAAACAAACATTTAAAAGGGTACCATCATAGATGGCCTTGATCAGTACTATTAGGACAATACCATTTGTACCTACCTGTAACCTGCAGTGTCTGTAACTTATGTGATTTAGTAATTAGTATAATAGATAATATATTTGGTATTTTTCTTACCTGGTACCTTTGTATTGTTGACATATCATATGATATGATATGCCAGGTGCAAGCAACCATGATAATGTTAAGTACAGTTAAATCTTCAGTTTCTACTTGGTTCTCACAAAAATTATACTGTTCTTGCAGTGTTCCAAAATGAAAGTGTTTCTTTTGGTGGGAAGGACATCCAAAAGAAAATCATTTCACTAGCACCTCAAATTTTTAAAAGCTATTTTCCACTCCAAGTTTTACCCAGAGAAAGCATTTGCTTGGATAGTTTTGCCCACATTATACTATTCCTATATAAATGTTTGCCATTTATCCCTTTCCACTCTTTGTGGCCATTATGTGACTGACAATTTTCCACTCTTTTCCCTTTTTGGTGAAGAATTTCCCCCCTGATTTCTAACACCCAAGTCAAAATATAGTTTTCTGACACTGCTGTATTGAATATCAATGTAATAGAATGTTTATTTATTTTGAATCTTAACTTGCAGAAAGAGTGGCAAATCATGTCATGGGACTGGAACTGGGTAGTATTTCTTTAAAGTAGCATGCAACTGGAATGTAAGATAAGTACTGTGCATGGATGTGCAAGGTGACAGTGTCAGTCCCTCATGAGCCATGTGGTTGTCACTTTGTCATGTAATGCAAGGTTAAAGGTCTTATATGGCTAAGTTATATGAGACATTTTCTGGTTGAATGGACTGAATCGCTCACGTCTGACTGAATCTGACTGTTGCCAGGCCCTGGTCATGCCCAAGAAGTCGGCCAAGTCTGCTGCCAGTGCGGCACCGTCGTCGGGTGGCGCGAAGCCCGCCCCGCAGTCGGAGGACTGCCGGCGAGGGGCGGGCAGTCGTCGCAAGCAGCGGATGCCGCTCCGCGTGACGTCCGACTCTGAGGAGCCGGACGTGGACACCGCTGGCGAGACGCCGCCGACCAGCAAACAGGAGCTGCCCTCTGAGCTCACCAAGGCGGCCGCCAGCGCCACCGTGACATCATCGGCCACCACCAGCCTGATCGCGGCCCTCAACACCAAGCGCTCCCGACCTCCGAAGGCCAAAGATGTGGCGCGCGTGCAGTGTGGCGTCTGCAAGGAGTGGGTCATCGAGAGGGCATTTGAGCGCCACGCACTTTCCGCTCATTTGGGGCTCGCCAGACAGATGGGCGACAGCCAGGAGTTTACCAAATCCCAAAAGCTATCGGCGTTTGGCCGCGTCCTTAAGGCAGGTGGAAAGTTGCAGTGTCCCTTGTGCAAGAAATGTCTCACTTCAGCACTTGGTTTCTTTCATCACCAGGGTACTTGTGGAAAGGATGTGAATCCTGTCAAGTGTCCCAAGTGTGGATATTACTTGAAACCTCTGTCATTGCCACATCACATGCGAAAGCACGAGCAAGAAGAGAAAAATAAGGGCGAGGAGGACTGCGAGCCACCTAAGAAACGTAAGCGGCAGAGCGCTGCCAAGCTATCGAAATCGAACGATCCGGACTATGAGCCGAACGAGGTGGTGACCGCGAGGAGCAGCACACGCGGCCCGGTGAAGCGCGGCTTCTCGGCGCCGCGTCTGGCGCCACACCCTAATACAGTGGCCAAGTGGGAGCGGGCGCTGCAAACGGAGCGTCAGCTGACCTGCCAGATGCCCGGCTGCCAGTTCCAGGCCGACTCCGCGGACGACATGGTGACCCACTACCCCAACTGCCCAGGCCTGCCGGCCAAGTGGAAACTGTTCACTTGTGACCAGTGCGGGGAGCAGGCCGATACGGAGACTGACATTGTGAAGCACGTGGAGCAGAGCCACCGGTCGGCGGCGCCTGAGACGGCCGGACCGCGCGGCAAGCCGAACATGCGGCGTACCGGCGCCATCGTTCCCGACATGGCCGGCGAGCTGACCTACTTCACAGCGGTTGAGCGCCAGTCTTGTCCCCGCGAGCAGACGGAAAAGTACTGGTCACAGCTGCCCAAGTCGCGTGTGCTGTCGGCGACGGCGCGCAAAATCGACGGCTGGCGACCGGCGGGACAGGAGAGCCGCCGCTACATGCCGCCCATGAAGCTGTCGCCCGCATACAAAGTGCAGGAGATCGGGAACCCTGACCCGCACCGCACCTTCGAGCGGCTCGACCCGTTCGCCTTCGAGGAGCTCGACAACGGCGTGCTGTGTTTCAGCGGCGGGCCGGTGGTGGCGTGCGACTGGTGTCCCCTGCCTGCCGACTGGTCTGGCGACGCCGACGAGACCCAGTTCCTGGCGGTGGCGTGTCTGCCCGTGGTGGACGCTCACCTGCCGCCGGTGGAACCTTCGACTCTGCCGACCGCTGTGCAGGTGTGGTCATTCAGCGGGGACCGTCGGACGGCCCGCCTCGAGTTCGCGCTGTGCGTGGACGGTGGGCCCGTCTGGGACCTGGCCTGGTGTCCGATCGGCGAGCGGACTGTGCCTCCGGCCGACCGACTCGGCTGTCTGGCGCTGGCCTGCGGTGACGGCCGGGTGCGAGTGTACACCGTGCCGGCGCCGGCCACCCTGGAGGCGGGCTCGGCTGGCGCGCCGGTTTTCTATCGGAAGGAGCCCGACATGCGTCTGGAGGTGTTCGGAGACATGGGTCGCTCGCCGTGTCTGCGGCTGGCCTGGGCGGCCACCGAGGGCAATCGATCGATATCGGCCATCCTCGGTAACGGCGTGGTGGTCTTCTGGAACCTGCAGGCGAGCTCGCCGCTACTCTGTCAGACCGAGGGCGCCAGCCAGGTGCTGTACCCGGTGCAGGTGATTGCTGCACACCGCGGCCACGGCACGGCACTGGCGTTCAGCCCGGCCAGCGACCGGCACCTGGCCACTGGCGGCCGTGACCGCACGCTGCAGATGTGGGACCGCGAGGAGCCGGCCTCCCTACAGCGCGCCGCCACCAAGCTGCGGCCTATGCTGACGGACCTCTGCTGGCCGATCGCCACCAAGAAACTGTTGAACGCGTATGACCACAGCCTGTTCGTGGGCTCGCCGTCGATGATGCTGTCGGACGTGGCGATGCCGGTGCAGGACGCGCCGCTGTTCACGCACGGCGCCAAGTGCACGTCCGTGTCGGTCAACACCACCGTGAACGGGCTGGCGTGCGGCTCTGAGAGCGGCCTGGTGGCGCTGGCGCAGTGGCGCAACATGCTCTCCCACAAGCAGAAGCACGAGCTGCGCCGGCTGCTGCTCAAACTGGAGGCGGAGCGCCTGGAGCCGACCGGCGCGGCCGACGGCGCCGACGCCGAGGTCCTACTCGGAGACAAGTACACTCAGCTCTGGGAGTCGTGTGGCGTCACCATCTGGGAGGCCAAGTTGAACCAGAAGAGCGGCATCATCCGCGAGGGATTCGACGACCACGTCTCCACCACGACCAGCTGGGTGTCCAACTACCCCTTCGTGGCCGTGAACAAGGTTAGCTGGAACCGTAACGCCGGCGCTGACTCATGGCTGGCCGTGGGCATGGAGTGTGGCCTGCTGCGCGTACTGAGCGTGCCCTCCGGCGCCTTCACCGCGGTGCGCTCCTAGCGCGGTGACAGCGGCCCAGGCAGCGGCTCCAGTAGCCCTGTCCTCTAGTACTTGCCGCCATTCCTCCTCAGCTATAGGACATTGTTGTGTCGCCAAAGTATTGTGTTTGTTAAGTGTGCCGGACGATATATGGTGTGACCTCTTTCGTATGGGTTGTGACGGGTGGGACGAACGAATGAATTTGTTTCTCATGCATTTGATGGTATTCCGTCTAGACGTACGCTATTTTCAGCTTTCGTTAAACTGCTAAGCCTTGGCAGACAAATTTTCTTCCAATGATTTTCCGTTGCAGCCGCTTCTCTAACGTTTTTTCTACGTTAAACCAGTTTATTTGTCAATTGATGTGACGACTTATACCTATTTCTTCGGAATAAATGCTTCCCGTGTATAAATTTCCTGAGTCTGTCTAACGGCGAGGATGTAGGTTTTGAACGATATGTTGTTACATAGATGGAGTTTGATTTACGATAGACATCGACAGCCCAGCCTATGCTGAAACTTTATTTTTTAGGTTGGGGGGCATTATTTGACTTCTAGTAAAACACGTTTTCACGAATTTTAAGCATCAGCAGGGTCGCTTTTTCTAAAAACTATGCAAAGTACCTATTGCAGTCAAGACAGTCCATATTTAGATCCAGGACTGCAGAGTCGAAATTCTAATTAGGACTTTTAAGGACTGGCTTAAAAAAAACTCTTGACACCGACTCCAGAACTCAGACTGCAGACATAACTTTCGCACTACACACACGGTTGGCTCCGATTCCGGATTTTTGTCCATATCAACATGGGTATTCTGTCCGTATCTCGCCCGTATTTGTGTTTTTCCAGCCGCGAACGTCCAGGGGGGGATCCGTTGGACCCCCCCCCCCCCCCCCCTTGCCGTTTCGGCCCTGATCGAGCTAGAGCTTCGCGAAACAGAACGAGCGTGTTGCCTGTGACGAGAGGAAGCCGATGATACCCAATTTTAAGGTCCTTGGTCATTGGCTGACCTTCCAGGCCAGGTCAATGACCCAAAAGTCGGGAAAATCGGGACCTGTTAGAACGTCGTAAAGTGTAGCTGCTATGTTTTTTTTCGGGGTGCTGATCACGAATATCGTGTTAGTTTTGATCACAGATGTCTTTAAGCATTTAGACCAGGTCGGGTCAGGTCAAGTCAACCAGTAGGGGTCCTGCCGGGTATTCGTAGTGGGGGAAAGTGGGGTAAGACGGGCACCTTAACTTTGGAGCCATTTTTCGGCCAGTTAGAAACATCATAGAAACGGGAAACTGAGTGAAAACCTTTTTAGACATTTTACTTCCATTTGCCAGAAGATGAGACGCACACCTGATTCAACAAATAAACTGCTGCTATTTTTGCAAAACCTTGCAAAAACCCGTCTTACCCCAGCCCATGGGGACGGTTACATGGGTAGGGCATGACGGCCAGCTTCTTTCATCGATCAGCACAGCTCGCAACAAATGCCCGGGATTAGCCGCATTGATACTGTCGCTCGTTGGTCTCAAGTGCTTCGGAAATGGCAGTAGGTATACGAGATTCGTGCAGAAGGCGTATGCTCGTATATAGGCCCTAGTTCAGAAGCCATGTAGAACCGTTTTTCACATTCATTATTCGAGAATAAACTGTGCCGAAGGAATATTGCTAACATGTCTGTGAGTATCGGAACCGAACATATTCGTATTAGAAATGCTTCTTTTTTCCTACAGCAACAAAAATATTTTCACTATTACAGACCCATTGGATTCATAGTTGCCCGTCTTACCTCAAACTCAATGTCAGAAGTTTAGCACGATTTTCTCTGAGGACAATTTGATGCAGACAAAGCAAATCCGCGGTAAATGAACACTGGTGGCATATGAGTGTACCACAAGTGTTTGCGAATTTTTAACTCTATACCTAGTGCTACACACAAAAGCTTGCACAATACATTATGTATGTTTTCAATGAAGTGAGTGTTTTAAAGAAATCAAGATAAAAGATTACCTATCGACTGAACACAAATTCACCAGACTTCAATGGTGGTGTATAGTGGGAAATGCAATTCTGGTCCTATTTTTTCTCGCTCGTAGCGCTATTGGTTTGGTCTGCAGAAGGGGTGCCCGTCTTACCTACCCTGACCGTATTACCCCACTTTCCCCTAGGTGTCAACCGCCTCTGACAGCTTCGTAACATGTTACGAAGCCGCCTTAACTACTTCGTAAACGTTCATATGGTTGCTAAATTCGAATTCAGCTCGAAAAACTGACCTAGAAACATGTAAAACTCGAAAAAATGCACCGAGGTCACCAAAGGTCAATGACCTGACCTGACCTTCAGGTGACCTTGAAACCCACCCTAATGCATGGGGGCAACATCATATCACATGTTTGAACGCTTGGAACCACGAGAAGACTGCAAACGCGCTGCTAGTGCGAGCCGACATACGCCGAATCGCGATTCCGGCCAAACATGGTCTCGAAAAGTAGATCAAAGCCCAAAGGTCATTTGAGTCAGGCAGGGTCATGAAATTTTCAGGGTAGGTTTAAACATGATGAACGCGAGGGTACTGAAAGTTTCGTTGCAATCGGCCGCTTTTTACGCGAGTTATTCGCGAAAAACCGAGGGGGGTCCGTTGGTCCCCCCCCCCCTATACGGGCGAGGGTTAAGTGAAGTTCATGCCGAATATCTTATCATGCCTGAAACGATCCATTGTGCGTTCCAAGCCGTTACATTGGCTGCAACTATGGTTTATAAATAGCATGCGGAACTAACGGTGGTGGTCTTGCGGCACAGCATGCAGCAGGCGCCGAGTGAAAGCCATCTGTTGAGAAAATTCGAAACTACCGGGCCGTGCGGCACAGCATGCTGCAGGCGCCGCGCATGAAAGCCATCTGTTGACAGAGATTAGAACTACTGAGGCATGAACCATCCCTGTGAAAGCTCCTCTGGCACTGAAGTCGTTGCGAAGTTGCGACATCTGAAGACCGTGCAGAGGTTCACCTATGATGTCATATGTCAGTGACCTGACCTGACCTGAAAATGTGGTTGGCCGTTGGTATCCAAAGATCTGGCTTGAATCAAAGGTCAGGTAGGTCTTTTTCTAGGAAGCGTACCTGTACGCTTCCTAAACCTACGTACTTGTAGGAAATTGATGGATGCTTATTGCTTATTAACCCGGCAGCTGCTGGGGTATTTCGCCACCCGCCTTTTGCTGGGGGGGGGGGGGCGTGAAATGCCCCCAGCCGATAGCTCGAGAACCAATAGGCGCCGCGAAACGCACGAGGCGGCAAACGAAAGACCGCGACGAGACGCTTCAGATGAGTACCTTAAAGTTAATTTTGAGGTCACAGGTTGGGTCAAGGTCAGGTCAAACACCTGAAATCGGGCTTTCAGTAACATAGACTTCAGAACCTCGCAATGGGCGCCTCTCGTCATCAACTCTGTCAAAACAGTGCACAATCCTTCATATAAGGCCTACAAGAGTGTCAGATCCATGTATGTAGGGGTCAGTCAAACATAGGCCAGGGTCAAGGTCAGGTCAACCAGGTAGGCATATATCCCCGAAAATCAAAACTGATATTCGCAGCCTGTGACACATGTTATATGGGTAATTTGGGGCGTAGAACACGATGGCGACATTCATTTTATCATATGTGTACGTGCTTGGTTCAAAAAGTCCAATTTAAGAAATGTATGGCATGTATTATGGTCGTGAAGTAGTTACGAGAAATTGCTAAGACTCAGTTCAAGATTTTGGAAAATGCGGAACGACAATCAAAAATCGAAGATAACCGTTTGATTGTTCATGGTATTGGCAGTCTAATGGCGTTGACGGCATGTCTGTATGTCAATTTCGTGATTTTATGATTTTTTGAACATATGCCGTTTTTGGTCGAAAACTCAGAAATCATGACGTCACTAAAACCTCGGATATTTCAAAAAATTTCCGACCGATTTTTTTTTTAACTTTGTCACAATAAACTTCAATCAATTCCCTATAGGCACCAAAATTTTGGCGCGCCTGCGGCACGCCGTTTTTATAGCGCGGCGAAAAAAGTGGGGGCGTTTAACGTCCCCCCAGCAACTCGCGGGTGCCCAATTAGAAGAATTTGATTACATAGAATTAGAATATGGAATTAGAAGAAAAATCGTTCGGAATTTTTTGAGATATTGACTATCCAGTGACGTCATGATTTCGGAGTTTTCAACCAAAAATAGCGTAGGCCTACTTATGTTAAAAAACATAATATCACAGAAGAGATGTACAAACATGCAATCAACGCCGTTCGAGTACCAAAACCATTTAGGTAAAATAAACTGGCATCTTTGATTTTTTATTATCTTTCTACATTTTCCGAAAACCTGTACTGAAACTTGGCGACTTCTCGTGAATAGGTACCTTACGACAATGATGCATGTATAATGTATTTCGTAAATCGATCTTTTTCGACCAAACACGTTATACGTATCTACTCAGTACTCTGAATGTCAATACTCTAAATATCTCCTCTGAATGTATCTGGATGTCTCTATCGTATCAGAAATTGTGCAGACAATTTCAGTTGTTCGGCATTAGTGTGTTCATATATTGGATCGGTACACGATTTTCATCACTGCCTATTTCGGCGTAGCGCCAGCATAAATAACACCAGTGCAAACGTTTCTAACCACACAGTACGGAATCTGAATGCACTGTTTCTAAAATTGGATTCACTGTATCTGAATATTACGCGCTATGTCTGAATAGCCTGCACTCTGCCGAACTATCGATGCGCTTTGCCGTACTGTCGAAATTGGTCACACTATTACCGAATTATATGCGCTATGTCTATAATTGGCCGTAAAGTGGTGTACTAGGTACCTATAGATGGTTTAGTATGTGACTGCATACCGAATTTCAGTCAAATCCGTCGGCTAGTTTCTGAGATATAGAAAAAGTGGATGCACGTGCGCACGTGCACACGTGCGCAATTGCATCGACACCTCACATTTTTATTGCGGCGCTAGTATGGACGGTTCAGTATGTGACTGCATATCAAAATTCAGCCAAATCCATCGTCTAGTTTCTGAGATAAAAATAGTGTGTGCACGTGTGCACGTGCGCACGTGCATCGACACCTCTCATTTTTATTGCGGCGCTAGCATGGACGGTTCAGTATGTGACTGCATACCGAATTTCAGTCAAATCCGTCGGCTAGTTTCTGAGATACAGCAAAGGGGTGCGCACGTGCGCACGTGCATATGTACCTCATATTTTTCTTGCGCACCAGTATTGACGGTTCAGCATGTGACTGCATGCCAAATTTCAGCCAAATCCGTCGGCTAGTTTGTGAGATATAGAAAAGGGGTACGAACGTGCGCACGTGCAGCATTACACCATTTTGGGAGTATGGGTCAGTGATGGTTACATAGTATCTGCTTACATGCCAAATTGGAAGGAAATCGGCCCAGCCGTTCCAGAGATATCACTACACCAACTTCGTAAACACCCCGCACGCGCCACGTGCAGGCTCTCATCCAACACACCCCACTGCAGCAACGCAAGGTTCCCAGCAATTTTAATGAATGGAGCTACCGAAGAGTGAAAAAATGGATGTCGTAAGTGCTATGGTTTCCGAGCAATTAGCGTCAACTTTTAGGGCCGTTGTGGTCATGTGCCGATTTTCTGTGTCCAGTCCATGTTTACAGAGGTCTATGTCTACACCTATGTAAAAGTACCCATAAAACATGAGTCATATGCTGCGAATGCCAACTTCGATTTTCGGGGATATGTTCTTACCATGGTTGACCCGACGGCCGACCTTGACCCTGACATATGGTTGACTGACCCCTACATGGATCTGACATTCGTGTAGCACTTATATGAAAGATTGTGCACACTCTTGCTAGAGTTTATGATGAGACTAGCTACGAGGTAGCTCCAACTTTCAAGTACTCGTCGCGTTTTTCCGTTTGCCGCCTCGCACGTTCCGCTGCGCCTATTGGTTCTAGAGTTATGTATTGCAGGCGTTTACCATCCCCCCCCCCCCCCCAGCAAGTGGTTGGTGGCGAATTACATACCCCAGCAACTGCCGGGTTTTAACGACAACCAACTTCTAACATTGGCATTTCATCGACCGTCGGTGCTAAACAGGAATTGATATGGTCGACACAGTCGTCAACGTTTGTAATTTTAAACCAGTAAAACGCCTTTTGGGCGAAGAACGAACGAGCGAGATAGTGAGCCCTGCACGTGCGGAAGGGCGATAGGGTACTTCCAACGGGCTTGCGCAAAGCACCCTTCTAACCGGTCGCTAACGGTGTACCAAATTTGAACGCAATCGGCCCAGCCGTTCCTGAGATCTGGAAGCGGCATTCTGCACGTGTGCACGTGCAAACGGGGTCCAAACTGACTTTTGCACGGCACCCTACTAATTGGTCCCAACCATGTACCAAATTTGAGCGCAATCGGCTCAGCCGTTCTCGAGATCTGGAAGCGCCCCCTGCACGTGCGCACGTGCAGTAGCACCTTAACCGCAACAAATGGGAATGCATTGTCTGGTGGGTGCCTACCTGTTTGCCAAGTTTCAGCGAAATCGCCCCAGTAATTACCGAGTTATTAAAATGGGAACAAATTTGACACCTCTTATTGTTGTATTTTGCACGTGCACTGGGGGTGACCCACATGCACCGAGAGTATCCAATTTTGGTAGAAGGGATGCTGCTACCCTACAAAAATTACCGCAAGCCAATCGCCCAAGCGGCTGCTGAGATATGAGCCTCTCAAAATCACTACTTTGCAAAACAGCTTGAACACCCTTGACTTTTCACGTGACACGTGCCACGACGGTCACTGAGATGTATCAAAAGTAGTCAATTACGGGGTAGAAGGGATGGGGCTACCCAAAAAAAAGACCACAGGCCAATCAGTCCAGCGGTTGCTGAGATATAAGCCTCTCAAAAGCGTTATAGGCCGGGCCGGGCCGGGCCGGGCCGGGCCGCTCATACTGAGATTTTTACGTTATACCGGAAAGAAATTGAAAAGACTCACTTCGCTCGCTGCGCTCGCTCGCTCGTAATAATCGAAAATCACGAAGCTGCGGATTTCACGAACATTTACCTTTATGTTCGTTATATCAGTTTTATCAGTTGTACATTTACCCTAACCTACCGGCCACTTAAGCCGACCAAATTAAGTTCAGACTGAGTATTTGCACTGCCAAGGAAAAAAGGCCACATACACAATATACAAATTTATTACAAAAATCACAAGGATGAACGTTGTACACGGTGCCTAGTGTATAAACATCACTGCAGGTTTATTGCTAACACATCCATGGAAACGTTCAGTTGTAAGACGGCTGGTAAGCCGCCTGGGGCTCGACGTAGGCGGACTGGGGCTCGACGTAGGCAGGCTGGTAGGCGGGCTGGGGCTCGACGTAGGCGGGCTGGGGCTCGATGTAGGCGGGCTGGTAGGCGGACTGGGGCTCGACGTAGGCGGGACCAACAGCAGGGGTCGGGTACTGGGTGGGCACCGGCGTCGGCAGGATGTCGCTGGACGGCTGGTAGCCGTTCTTGTCGGCGACAAATGTCACCTTGATGGGATTGCCGTATCCGTCGGTGTAGCTCCAGGAGCCCTCCTGGCGGTAGCTGCCCTCCGGCTGTCCGTAGGCGTTCTTGCCGTAGCCGGGCAGAGGCACGCCGCTCTCAGACCTGGACATTGGTTTCATGGTGTCAATGATAAACGTTTCTCCAACCAACGTTTTATGTTCACCGAAATTTGGTTAAGCTTCCTGATTGGTACCCACATTGTGCGTATTTTCGGTCTTAATTTTCCCCTAGAGTAAATCTCACTTTATGCATTGTTAACTTCATTTACTAGATACCATCTCTCACCTGTAGATGCCGTTCTCGGTGCTGAAGTGGAAGTTGTAGGAGCCATCTCCGGGGTGGACGTTCTTCTCCTCAAGGATAGCGATGGGCTTGTAGCTCGGTTGGGCGGTGTAGGTCGGGGCAGCGTAGGTCGGGGCAGAGTAGGTGGGGGGTTCAGGAGGGGCGTAGGTGGGGGCAGAGTAGGTGGGGGCAGAGTAGGCAGGACGTGGCCTGTAGGAAGACTGGGGCCGGTCGGCAGCAGCCACCAGGGCCAGAGCAGCGACGATGAACTGAAAGGCAGATATGGTAGTAAGAACAAAAAATATTGGTTAAACATACCGTTCATAACGATATGTGCGTTTCATTAATATTCTGGTAATTGCATGAATTATTCCGCCAGAACTACTTACGGCCTTCATGTTGATGTGACTGGGTGCAGTGTCGAACTGATACCTGTGTCGGTTTGCTCGTCCATTATATAGTCGGGTCTTTGACAATGTCGCCCCCGGTCTGGTAAGTGCTCGGCTGACCACACCCGTCACCAGGGAGCTCCCCTGCCGCTAGGACCGCCCAGACATCTGCCGCAATACCGACCCGCCCCGCCCTCCCGGCCCCTCCTCTTCCTGCGGCCACTGCTAACCGGTCCAGCCGGCCAGCCGCGACGGGGAATCGCAGCTGATCTGCAGACCGTGATCTTTTGGCATAGACAGGTTCGACGAAAACATTTTTAGTGACATTGGAAACTTGGAAGATAAACTACCGTGGTTACCGTTGTATATTTGTCAAATTAATGTGTCAGTTTTTAAATCGCACATAACTGGGGTATTTTCCATAACGCAAGTGGCTGGGGGGGGGGGGGCTCTACAGAGCGCCCTGGTCTCTGTAGAGCCAGCCGTAGCTATTTTTGAAGATATCGCGCTGATAGGTCCTATAGAGTAGATCATCGGTATGTGTTCTTTTACATATATCCAGTTTTTGTTTCGAAAAGCCAAAAACTTTAATGAAAGAATCTTTTCTTTTCTAAATTTGTAGTTATAGGTAATTATCGAAATTTACTAAATTTTAAAAATCCTAGATAATGATTTGATAGCTCTGCGTAATATTAAGTCCTTTCATGCAAAGAAATTGGATCTATCTATCTTAAAAACTAGGCTCTTATGGGCGATTGCCGTAGTTCAGTATTTTGCATCAAAATCGGCCTAACATGACGTCACTCTGACGTCACCATCGGCCGACCTGTAGTGGCTACGAAATTTACATTTGGACACAAGATGTCAAATTGATGCCGCCGAAGGTTCTGCACTTTTTGTGTTGCTATGTCCATTGTCCAGCGGTTTAGAAGATATTGCAGAAAAACGGGATGGGGCTCTGTCATGAGCGGGTTTTCTTTTTAGACCGAAGGAAGTCTGAGATGGCTTAAAGGTACCTATTAAAAGTTTTTTTTGTCCGAATTTTCGGAGTTATTCAGTGAAACGTGTCAAGTCATCCATCCCAACAATGCCTAATTTTGAAATGGCGGTCCTGCAAAGTTGATTTGTCTTAAATCAGAAACTTCGCTAAAGATGCAGGTAACAGAGGATAGGGTAAGGTGCCTAATTAGCGACCCTTTCCGATTTGCGACCTACCTCCCTACAGAAAAACTGGCAGGAGAAAACGGGGTAAAAATATCGTCAAAAGGTCAGCCATACTTTGGTTATCAAATTAAATTATTTTCTGGTCGTCGATGTTTCTGGTGGGACGTTCCAGGTGAGTTTAAATAAAAATGACGAGTTTCTTATCCAAAAACGTGTGTGTTTGGGCCCTCTCTGATGAAAAGCGATGCACATTAGGATGATGCACCTTTTTTATTCTGAATCGACATTCCTTTTTCAATTGATTGCCGTTTTCCAATAGTGAATCGCTCAACTGTGCACAGCGTGGCGGTTAAAAATGTGTCGCAACTCATATTTCGTATTTGCGCCTGACATGGTCGCAAATAGCTCAAGAAGGGAAAGAAAGGGGAAAAGAGAGAAATGAAAATGAGGTGTTGCTGAAGCTTGCAATGTGTGGCAGGGGATGCCAAATGTCGTCACCGACTGTAGGGGTGCCGAATTCAGCGCGGACCTCGAATATCATACGAGATAGCCCGCAAAATTTGGGTTTCCGCCTTCTTTTCGCCTTCGGTGCATCACGTGATCAATTTTTACTTACGTAAAGGTGTTGGATAAACGTTCCTGTTCGAGTGATTGAGTGCTTTGCGTATAGGTTACCTTTTTGAGATCATATTTCATCTTTTCAGGCGTCGCATTTTTTGCCATTTTTAATATGGGGAAACCCATAGACTTATTAGCGACCCTCCCCGGTCGCTAATCGGGAAGAGTTCCCTATTAGCGTTTTTTTTCAATGGTTTGCCCAAATGCCCACTACAAATACGTTAGTGAATATTGGGGCTGAAAATGACTATATTTTAATAGAAAAATGAGCGATCTCTGCGAAGATCAAGCCAGTAATACAGTGGCACCCTAAGAGCGTGAGCAATGACGGTTCAAATTAAGGGGGTCGCTAATTAGGCATCTTACCCTAATGCGTGAAGAAATTGGCACTAAATATGACGAGACAAGATTAATCGATGTGTAAGTCAGGTACTTAAGAATCTTGAGTCGGTATACATCGTCTCTCGACGCTGGTAAAGCTATTTCGGGCATACAAAAGACTAAAGCAACTAGAATTATGTGAAAACAGGAATATTGCCAGATAAGCGCTTTAAATCGACCGATTAAACGTGCTCGATTTAAACGGAGCAATTTGCATGTCAAGCGCCAAGCATCGCAATTGTCAAACAGCCTGTCAAGTTTATGGTAGGGGCGAAATGGGGTTCGCATGGTATCCCCAAAGCAGGCGGTAAACTCGGCGAACTACGCGCCAAAAATCATGTGAGGGTCATTCATGGCAAAAGTGGAGCGCTGAGCACAACAGAAGCCGTCACGGAACGAGTTACGACAACCCTTATGCACAACTCTTGTAGGTACTCTTGTACTATTTGATGTCAGGGCAATTTTCACGTAAGGTGGAGCACCAGGGTACAACACAAAACGAAGTAATAAAAAGTGCGCTTGAAATACGTTTCAGGAATCTGACACAGAGACGAAAGGCCCGGTAGCTTGTCCGACCGAAACCAAATGAAAATATCTTGTCGGTGGTAGAGGAAACCCTTAACCAGCAGGAGCTAACTACCAGCCTGGGCCGGCTAAAGCGACGTCTGAAAAGGGCATGGAGATTGGAGGGGAGGGTCGTATAACAGATGAACAGAGCAAGCTGTGCGGTTTCTTAGAAATCGTGTTATTTACGGATCCTGAGATACGCCATGGGCTTCGCAGTGATAATGTCGGATCATAGGCGGCGGAACGGGGAGGGCACCGGGGCACCCTGCCCCCTTTGATTTTGGCATTTTAACATTAGCCCTATGGGCGTTGCATGGAAAGAATGGGACCAAAAGTCGGCAGTGCCCCCCCCCCCCTTAATTGGAGGTGTTCCGCCGCTACTGTGTCGGATGTTAAAGAATTTCAACAAAAAGAGTTGATGACCGAGGGTTTGTGATGCTGAAAACTTTTGGGACATCCTGTTCTTATGAACAGTCGACGTCAACCAGCCATAAACGGTTGGAGCCTTTTAGGTAGGTACGGCGCCCCTGTCACACCACATCGACTTGCCAAGCACAAATAGCGCTAAGTTAAACGCTAATAAAATGCGAAACTGGTGCTTAGGCTGCTTTGTGAGACAACAAAATGTATGTATATGTACATACATTTTGCTGTCTAGATAAAATGTCAGCGAAACATTATCTATGGTTTTCAAGTTTACAAACTACTGTGCAGTGGGTAAGCACTGATCAGTGAGCACACTGAGCAGGCATTCTCCTCGCACATCACAGCGGGAATTTCTCTTACCAAAGTGTAGGTACAGTGGAATCCGCTTACACCTTGGTGACAAGGTGTTTTGGATTTATTAAGCGATGGCTTTATTAACCGGAGTCAGATATTTTCATTAAAAACATGTAGTGCAGCTGCACATTCCGTTCCCCTGCGATACAAGCGAAGAGGCTAGCATTCCTGATTGCCTTACTTATTCCAATGAACGTGACCAAGGGCTCCAACATCGGTGGTGTCGGGGGTCCGGACCCCTAATAATTCGGCTTTTGAAATGCAGCCTAATTTATAAAGGCGTGTGCTTCAGGGTTGGACATCCCCCAAACCTGCGAACGTAGAAATGTCACCGAAAGGGACCAGCGCACACTGCATACTGTCACTATCCATCCACGATCACTCCTGGTCATGCCTGCCATGCCAACGCGGAACAGCCAAGCGTGCCTGCTTTGCCGGGGACATTTATTTGAGGTGTATGTTGATTGAGCTCTTTATAGCCATGATCTTCTGTTTTTAGAACTCCAACTGCTGCAGACCGCTGCTCCAGACTGATTCTTTGGGCGCGGGTTGGATGCAACAGTTCGAGTGAGGAGACGTCACTGCGGACTTAAAAACTCTCAAGTGGCTTTATTAAGCGGAGTGCGTGTACTTATCAAGCGGATTTATTTACAATGGGTATCGATGGCGAAAATCCGTGAACAGCTCAAGCTGTCACAATAAGCGGCTGGATTTTATTAACCGAGAATCTATTAAGCGGATTCTACTGTTAACTGTACATATGTAAGCGCAAACTATACCATCGATTCGGGAATCGGGAACAATAGTATCTTTTCCTTTCAGTTTCTTCAACTATTCCATTCAATCGACAAATTGTTACACAAGATCCTATTCTTCTTCGAGGCGTGTCATCAGCCTGAAATCAAGGTTAGACATCGTGATCCATTGATGTGCAGTGACCGGCTGGACCGGTCAGCAGTGGCCGTAGGAAGGGGAGGGGCCGGGAGGGCGGGGCGGCTCGGTATTGCGGCAGACGTCTGGGCTGTCCTACCGGCCCTGGTGACGGGTGTGGTCAGCAGAGCACTGACCAGCCCGGGGGCGCCATTGTCAAAGACCCGACTATATAATGGACGAGCAAACCGACCCAGGTATCAGTTCGACACTGCACCCAGTCACATCAACATGAAGGCCGTAAGTAGCTATGGTGGATTTAATTAATTCGTGCAATTACTGAGAATGCTAGAATTCAAGTGAAACACTTACCTTTACGAACTTAGTACCTACAACACCGTCTTTATTGTGACTACCGTCTCTGTTTTTTCAGTTCATCGTCGCTGCTCTGGCCCTGGTGGCTGCTGCCGACCGGCCCCAGTCTTCCTACAGGCCCCGACCTGCCTACTCTGCCCCGACCTACGCTGCCCCGACATACACCGACCAGCCCAGCTACAAGCCCATCGCAATCCTTGAGGAGAAGAACGTCCACCCCGGAGATGGCTCCTACAACTTCCACTTCAGCACCGAGAACGGCATCTACAGGTAAGAAATGACTAATTAACTATCACGGATTCCACTTCAACAAATATTATACAGCAGCAAGATAATAAAAAATGGCGTAGTATTTGGTTTATGCAAAAGCTGTTTCCCGTCTCTTCGCAATGTCGGTTTCCATCTTACATTACGTTATTATAAATTATGCACTGGGCGATCAACAACCATCATCAATTTTAGGCCTATCACTTAAATCTTAAATTTCGTGAAATAATATCACATTCATAAATTTACGTCATAACCTTGACCAGTTTAAACTCAGGTAGGTACCTATAATTTATCATTGTTTGAACTTATCTTCAGGTCTGAGAGCGGCGTGCCTCTGCCCGGCTACGGCAAGAACGCCTACGGACAGCCGGAGGGCAGCTACCGCCAGGAGGGCTCCTGGAGCTACTCCGACGGATACGGCAACCCCATTAAGGTGACATTTGTCGCCGACAAGAACGGCTACCAGCCGTCCAGCGACATCCTGCCGACGCCGGTGCCCACCCAGTACCCGACCCCTGCTGTTGGTGCCGCCTACGTCGAGCCCCAGCCGGCCTACGTCGAGCCCCAGCCCTCCTACCAGCCTGCCTACGTCGAGCCACAGCCTGCCTACGTCGAGCCCCAACCCGCCTACGTCGAGCCCCAGCCCGCATACCAGCCCGCCTACGTGGAACCCCAGCCCGCCTACAACTAAGTTCCTAAACGTGAATGGCCAGAGATGTTTAAAGTTTATTGCGTGTGGCTGTTGATTATGAATATGTCTTGCAATATATCACTGAATTGAGACCTATCTTGTATTGCTTGACATGCACAGCTGAGCCTCCTTCGCTTTATTGTGTTGCGTCATCAGTCGAGTCACCACTGAGAAGCAGGTAGTTCGGTTTTCAGCTGACGGGGAATGGCGACTGTATTTGAACACGTCCAAATGAGTAGTTGAACACGTCCCTGCCGTAACGTAACTGGTAATGATGAATCCCGCGACGATGCGCTGTCGTCTTGTGTTACGTTGCACCGAAATTCGTCGTATTATGTCGCCTTTTATGCACGTGTTAAGAAAAAGAAAGTAACTTATCGCTTAACCCTGCCTCGCTGGGCTATTCAGCCATGCGCGCCCCACCGCGCTAGGGGGGAGGGCAGATTCTGCCCCCTATCTTACTTCCGAACCGATGGTTGTAGAAAGACGTGAAAACCGAATCTCGAAAGCACTCAAAACCCACCTTTGGGCGTATTTTTTGCCTAAGTAGGTCACCTGTCAGGCTAAGGTCAGGTCAGCGATTATATATTCCCGACCGGGGCTGGGAATATATATTCCCGACCGGGGCTGGGAAAATGCGTTTTATTCACCGAGGTTTTTGTGCGGAGGACCGAGTGCCGGTAGGCACGAGGTCCGTAGCAAAAAACCGAGGTGAATAAAACTGCATTTTCACAGCCCAAGGTTGGGAAGAGATTTACCACATGCCGTACCGGCGCAACAGTTAATATCATATTCATTTGAAATTTTACACTTTAATTTTAATATTGTGTTAATATTATATTAGTATTATGTTCATATTTATAGTCACCGTGATTATTTTTTGTGTTTTTCATTATTGGGCTGCGTTGAGTATGAAAGATGAAATTCCTACTTCCCCCTTATTTAGGGTTTGAAAAAGCTGAGGATGAAGATGGTGAAGCGCCAGAAGTTAGAATAAAAATATGGAGTTCAGCAGGAGTGAGAAAACCGTGAGGAAAACTGAAAATTGGGTGAAACGCTGAATCAAACGCGTCTTGGATCCCAGCTGGAACAATATCAAATGTTTCATTGTTGCACGTTAAGATGCTTCACGCATTTAAATTGATCGTTTTTTGCGTGCATTATGTAGAAATAATTATTATTCCGATTTCCGACCATGTTCTGCAGCAATAAATACATTGGCATTGGAACGATAACCTTGTTTAGTTGAATTACGTTGACAGCAAAAGTAAGTAAACACGCAGTCACTTACTTTTGCTGTTGCTGTTAGTGAACACACAATCCGTAAATATCTTCTTTGAAATTGGTTCTTCCGCTCAGAATATTCAGTAAAATTTTGTCTGGGAAAATCAAAAAGCCCTAGGGCCGAATCGTTTCCCAAATACCTTCAACATTAGCCGAGGCGGGCCGAAGCCATTTCCCAAATGCACGTGCTAATGTTAAAGGAATATCTCGGCATGTGGTAAAATGCGTTTTATTCACCGAGGTTTTTGTGCGGAGGACCGAGTGCCGGTAGGCACGAGGTCCGTAGCAAAAAACCGAGGTGAATAAAACTGCATTTTCACAGCCCAAGGTTGGGAAGAGATTTACCACATGCCGTACCGGCGCAACAGTTAATATCATGATATTGTGTTAATATTATATTAATACTATGTTCATATTTATAGTCACCGTGATTATTTGTTTGTGTTTTTCATTATTATGCTGCAATGAGTATGAAAGATGAAATTCCTACTTTCCCCTTAGTTAGGGTTTGAAAAAGCTGAGGATGAAGATGGTGAAACGCCAGAAGTTCGAATAAAGATATGGAGTCCAGAAGGAGTGAGGAAACCGTGAGGAAAACTAAAAATTGGGTGAAACGCTGAATCAAACGCGTCTTGGATCCCAGCTGGAACAATATCAAATGTTTCATTGTGGCACGTTAAGATGCTTCACGCATTGAAATTGTTCGTTTTTTGCGTGCATTATGTAGAAATAATGATTATTCCGACCATGTTCTGCAGCAATAAATACATTGGCATTGGAACGATAACCTTGTTTAGTTGAATTACGTTGGCAGCAAAAGTATGTAAACACGCAGTCACTTACTTTTGCTGTTGCTGTTAGTGAACACACAATCCGTAAATATCTTCTTTGAAATTGGTTCTTCCGCTCAGAATATTCAGTAAAACTTTGTCTGGGAAAATCAAAAAGCCCTAGGGCCGAATCGTTTCCCAAATACCTTCAACATTAGCCGAGGCGGGCCGAAGTCATTTCCCAAATGCACGTGCTAATGTTAAAGGGATATCTCGGCATGTGGTAAAAACCACAAATTCCTACACTTCTCACTTCGGAGCCCAGTTGGCGAAAAATAGACTAAGATTGATCACCCAAAACGCATTCTCAGGCTACCAAGAAAGGGTGCATGACATAAAAATGTCATGCAAAGGTCAAGGTCAGGCCAGGTCACGAAAAACATACTATACTCGAAGAATAGGATATGGCGACACATATTTATTGAATCATTTTGTTCATAGAAGTCAATAGCCATGCTCAATTATTGATTAACACCATATTTGGATGAAGTTCTGGTCGAGGCCAGGTCAAGAAAGGTCAAATTTTAGTTTATTGTTGAGACCCAAAAGCTGTTCATCTGACGCACGCGGTTTTTCACGAAGAATCAAATGGGGCTATATTGATTGCAAGTTGTGTCCAGGGAAGGAAGCTTTCATCAAAATTGTCGACCAATAGCATGTTACCAGCAGTTGCATCTTGGAGGTTGTCCCTATTTACCATCAAAATCTTGATTGAGAAGCAGTCAGTTGCAGGGGCGCGGGAACTACTTTCAGACTAGGGGCGGGGGGGGGGGCAAACCATAATAGAGATCAACCTAGGGTATCCCCAAATCTAGTTTTCTCAACGGTTTTAGGGCACTTCTCCCCCCGCCCCGCCCCCACGGTTCCCGTATCTATGATCAGTTGTCCCCGTATAGACAACATTGTCGAAATTGCTAATTGGTTCCTCTTGGTCCCAGTATTAGAACTTACGCATTGAAGTAAAGAAGTAAAGAACGCATTGTTAAGTAATGTCAGGGCGGCCAAAGTCCAAGCTGGTAACGCTGACAGGGGCATTTTTTATCAGTCTGATAAAGAGAGCCTCGGTGGGAGCGGCCGACTGGCGGCCAGGTGCTCAGCTCCCAGGCAGGCGGTTTCCTGTGTGCTGAGCCTTATATGCATGCGTCGCGGTGGCCGCCACTGTCGCCTCGATCCCCGTCGCAGCCACATTGTCAGCCATGCTCTCAGGCGCGGTGCCGCTGCTGGTGCTGGTATTCGGGTCCGCGGTCAGCGCCGATCCGGGCGAGCCGCTGTTCCTGACCCCGCTGATCGAGGCCGGGGAGCTGCAGCAGGCCCGCGAACAGAGCAGGGTGCTCGGCCTTCCCGGAGCCGGCGCCAACGTCACCAGTCACTCGGGCTTCATCACCGTCGACAAGGAGCGCAACTCGAACCTCTTCTTCTGGTTCTTCGAGTGTCAGCAGGCGTCTCCGCGCGAGGCTCCCATCCTCCTCTGGCTACAGGGTGGCCCGGGCGCTTCTAGCCTCTACGGACTGTTCATTGAGAACGGCCCGTTCGATGCCGACGCTGACCTGAATCTGGTGCCTCGGAACCTCAGCTGGACCAACACGCACAACGTGCTGTACATCGACAACCCGACCGGCACCGGCTTCAGCTTCACTGACGACGAAGCAGGCTACGCCAGGAACCAGGAAGATGTGGCCCGCGACCTTTACTCGGCGCTGACGCAGTTCTTCACCGCTTTTGAGATGTTCCAGGGTAACGACTTTTACGTGACCGGAGAATCGTACGGCGGGAAATACGTGCCGGCCATCACGCACAAGATACACATGGAGAATCCCACAGCTGAGCTGAAGATAAACCTTAAAGGTATGGCGGTCGGAGATGGGTTTGTTGATCCCAGTAACCAGGTTGACTACGGCGAGTTTCTGTACAACGTTGGACTGATCGACGCCGAACAAAGAGAACAGTTCCACGCGTCGGCCATGGACGCCGTCGACCTAATCAACCAAGGTGATCTGGAGTCAGCCTTCCGTCTGTGGGACTCGGCCCTCCTCGGCACCAAGTACCCGTACCCGACCTATTTCGAGAACTGCACGGGCTTCACCAACCACTTTAACTACCTGCAGCCGGTCGACCCGCACGACGTAGACGCCAGTCCGTACAACGACTTCCTGCGCCTGCCGTCCACGCGCGCCTCCATCCACGTGGGCGAGCTGCCGTACAACGAGGCCGGCGACATCGTCTCCGACTACCTGGTCGGTGACATGATGAACACTACCAAGCCGCTGGTGGCCACCATCCTGGACGCCGGCTATCGAGTGCTCATCTACAGCGGCCAGCTGGACGTGGTCGTCGCTTACCCGCTGACCGAGCAGTGGCTGGCCTCGATGGAGTGGCACGGCGCCGAGCGGTACCGGGACGCCGAGCGTGTCATCTGGCGCGAGCAGGGCGAGATCGCCGGCTACGTGCGCCAGGTGGACAACCTGATCGAGGCGTTCGTTCGCAACAGTGGCCATATGGTGCCCACCGACCAGCCGGAGGTCGGCTACGCGCTCATCACCAAGTTTACTGGCACCAACTGAGAGCTCTATGTCAGGCCATTAATCCAAAGGTTATGTTTATTCAAGGGATATACAGCCGCTCATATGTCAACAATCAACAATTAGGCCACCAACAGTAGGTCAACAGTTAGGATTATGTCAACAAGCCGCTCACATGTTTTACGAACCACGCAAAAATAACCAAATATGTAAAACATTGGTTACGTTGTCTAATGTTTTTTTCCCACGTGACAGTGAAACTCGTGCTCGACTTTAAGGCATAAAAGTAGGTTGCCGCAGCGATTTTCTGTCGGTTAAACTGCATGGTCTCTGCTCAATACAACATTTGAGTTTTAACCCTCGCCGGCACAGGCCATTTTGCGTCCTTCGACGGAACAAGAGGGGGAGGGTTGGTAAGACCCCCTTCGCGTTTGGCCCCTGATCGAGCTAGAGCTTCGCGGAAAGAACGAGCGTGTTGCCCGTGACGAGAGGAAGCCGATGATATCCCATTTCAATGTCCTAGATCATCGGTTGACCTTCCAGGTCAGGTCAATGACCCAAAAGTCGGGAAAATCGGGACCTGTTAGAAAGTCGTAAAGTGTGGCTGCTAGTTTTTTCGGGGGGGGGGGGGGGTGCTGATCACGAATATCATGCTAGCTTTGATCACAGATATTGTATTTATGCATTTACGTCAGGTCGGGTCAGGTCAGGTCAGGTCAACCAGTAGGGGTTGTGACGGGTATCCGTAGCACGTGTCAACCGCCTCTGACAGCTTCGTAGCATATTACGAAGGCATCAAGTCTATAATTAGAATTCAGCTCAAAAAACTAGCCTAGAAACATGTAAAACTGGAAAAAGTGAACCGAGGTCATCAAAGGTCAATGACCTGCCTTAACCTTCAGGTGACCTTGACATCCACCCTAATGCATGGGAGGAACATCATATTTCATTTCATTTCATTTCATTTATTCACCATATCACATGTTTGAACGCTTGGACCCACAAAAAGACTGCAAACGCGTGGCTTATGCGAGCCGACATACGCCGAATCGCGGTTCCAGCCATATGGTCTAAAAAAGTGGGTCACAAAGCAAAGGTCATTTGGGTCAGGATCATGAAATTTTCACGGTAGGTGTAAAATTGATAATCGCGAGGGTACTGATCGTTTCGTCGCAATTAGCCGCTTTTTGCTTGAGTTATTTGCGAAAAAAAAAACTTAGAAGGGTGTTGCATTAGCCCCCACCCCCTTTGCCAGCGAGGGTTAAGGCCTCAGAGTCACGGTACCCCAAAATGCCTCGCTCAGTCCACTGTTATCTTCCATGAGGGTTTTCTTTAACCTTTAAACCACTTTGGAGCGCAGGAAATATTTCACAAGTTATGTATTTTTGACCTCAAGATTAGGATAACAACGCCCAGTAGTTTGGATGCAGTAAATATCCTCACGCTCGTCAAAGCCCGAGTTCGTCAAGGTGCATATACAGCCCCAATCTGACAGCTGGGTCGCTCTGACAGCTCTGACAGCCGTAGGTCTGACACGTCCGACAGCTCGGGGCATCCAGACCGCTACCGAACTACCGGTCGCTGCGACCGTTATCTCAAGTGAAGTGTCGCTGATACCCGTATCGAAACAGATGCTTCGTTCCTCATTTGTCTTTTATTTGTAACTTCTCGGTCTAACTCATCACACGAGGAACGGCGGTGAGTGGCGACAATGATGAAGTGAATAATTACACAGTGATTGACGAACAAATAGAAAGATGACAGATACCGACATCAAGCACTATTTATTTATCAAATAAAACTACGGAACAAATAAGGCTGCATATTTACGCTATGTATGTGCACTGTGCAGTGTATACATATTTGTGGGTATTAAATATGCAGCACCCTGGAAAATACGCTGCTTTGCATTCTCATTACCTAAACAACTTAAAAATCATTTAGTTGTAGGCGGGCTGGTAGGCGGGCTTGCCATAGGAGGGCTGGGGCTCGACGTAGGCGGGCTGGGGCTCGACGTAGGCAGGCTGGGGCTCGACGTAGGTGGGACCAACAGCAGGGGTCGGATACTGGGTGGGCACCGGCGTCGGCAGGATGTCGCTGGACGGCTGGTAGCCGTTGTCGTCGGCGACAAAGGTCACCTTGACGGGGTTGCCGTATCCGTCGGTGTAGCTCCAGGAGCCCTCCTGGCGGTAGCTGCCCTCCGGCTGTCCGTAGGCGTTCTTGCCGTAGCCGGGCAGAGGAACACCGCTCTCAGACCTGAGAATGGTTTCATTGTGTCAATTACATAGCTTTTTCATCTTAGTGGCTGACAATTTATTCGCTCATTGATTGATAAGAGCATATTTTCGAATTTATTCTGACCCGAATTTCGATATCTATCATTTCTCACCTGTAGATGCCGTTCTCGGTGCTGAAGTGGAAGTTGTAGGAGCCATCTCCGGGGTGGACATTCTCCTCCTCCAGGATTGCGATGGGCTTGTAGCTCGGTTGGGTGGTGTATGTCGGGGCAGCGTAGGTCGGGACAGCGTACGTCGGGGCAGCGTAGGTCGGGGCAGAGTAGGTGGGGGCAGAGTACGTCGGGGCAGAGTAGGCAGGTCGAGGCCTGTAGGAAGGCTGGGGCCGGTCGGCAGCAGCCACCAGGGCTAGAGCAGCGACGATGAACTGAAAACAGAGACGGTAGTCACAATAAAGACTGTGTTGTAGGTACTAAGTTCGTAAAGGTAAGTGTTTCACTTGAATTCTAGCATTCTCAGTAATTGCATGAATTAATTAAATCCACCATAGCTACTTACGGCCTTCATGTTGGTGTGACGGGATGCAGTGTCGAACTGATACCTGGATCAGTTTGCTCGTCCATTATATAGTCGGGTCTTTGACAATGGCGCCCCCGGGCTGGTCAGTGCTCTGCTGACCACACCCGTCACCAGGGAGCTCCCCGGCCGGTAGGACCGCCCAGACGTCTGCCGCAATACCGACCCGCCCCGCCCTCCCGGCCCCTCCCCTTCCTGCGGCCACTGCTGACCGGTCCAGCCGGCCGCTGCACAACGATGGATCACAATGGACCTAACCTTGATACTAAGTCCGTTCAGCGCTTGCCAAATACTATTTCTGTAAAAAGCACCGGTCACTAACTGATGTATGTCATACGTTATATGCTCCTAAAAAGCCTACAAAGAAATAAGTCATCCTCACTATTAATCTTAGCTCGGCTAAGGGGGGGGGGGGCGTTTTTGGCCAACCAGCCAGTTTCTTTGCGTGGCATATGTATGATACATTTCGCATTTCGTGTGAAATTCTTACCCCAGGTCACACAAGGTCAGGTGACCACATCAGGTCATCCTTCTAAAAAACAACTTTGTGATTCATCAATCATCATTCCTACAATTTACATCCTAGAAGTTTGAAACTCGGTACTATTGCAAGGGGGAATCAGTGCCTACCAACAAGTTAGGTACCTATTTCAAAATTTTAATATCGGTGACCCAAGGTCAAGTCAATTTTGCGACATTCCCATTTACCCATAGGTATAAGCCAATGGGAGAAAATTGAAATGCCCTTCTTATCAACGGGAACACTCAAACATCGGGCTTTAGGTAAAGATGACACAATGTCCACAATGAATTGTAAAATTGCACCCAAATTCCAAACCACTCGTATGCCCCTGGGGTCACGTCAGGTCATGAACTTCTCTAACAGCTTTTTTACAATAACAAGATAGAAACATGTTAGAGCGCTGAAAATACCACGGATGCGCTCAGCTCAACGATACGAACCAACTGATATACAACGTGAGCATTTCTGTGACCTTGACCTGAGGTTAAATTTCTAAGTTCACCTGAAAAGTTAAATTTACCTGAAAAATTCAACTTATAGTCCATTCGACGCGTCTCGACGAGAGAAACGCGCCGCCGGTAACATGAACGCAATAGAAGCTTCAAGCTTGCTGTCAAGAGTCATTTAGGTAGGGGAAGATGGGGAACACCGACCCCCATAACGTTTTAGGGTCTAGTCACGTAATTGTTGGCCAAATGATCAATCCCTCAGTTTCACTGGATTGTCGCATCAATTCTACATACATATCAACCAATTGTTTTCTTTTATTGTCGTTCATAATTGCATTATTCCACTTATAGTAAATGTCTACATTTTTCGGGGTAACACCGACCGTTGGGTAACACCGCCTTAGCTCAGCAGGCAACGAAATTTGCAGATTGCTGGACTATTAAGCTGTTCATCATATCGTAAATTTCGAGGCGTTTTAGTATATTCATAAAATACAGTGGAAACGATTTTATTATATCCCTGGTACCTACAATCTAGTACTCATTTTTATATAACTAGATGACTTAAAGTCCCAAAATTTCATTTTCTCGAATTTTTTTAATGATCCTCTAAAAAGAAAACATAGCAACAACGTTCTTTCTTTATTTGAAATGCACCACTCCTGGGTTAGATGCTATTAAATACCAAATTTTCCAAGTGGGCGGTGTTACCCAAGTGTCTACATTTTTCTTTAAACAATCCTTCAATATGGCAGCACGACAAAAATTTCGCCTCGAGGAGGAGCACGTAATGCTTGGATGAGTCCTAGACTCCTAATTATGGTAAAAAATACTACTTCAGAAATAATGTCTGTCAAATAACATCAGTTTTCTTCTTGCTTTATGCTAGAAAAAGTATAAAACGTATTCACGAAACGTAAAAATTAGGAATTTCTCGCAAATCACCTAAACCAATGCGGTGCACTGCCCATACCTGCACTTCTGTTGTCGTCATGCTGCCAAAAGACAGTCAGCTGTCGCCCTAGACCTATTTATATTTCTGATTTCGGGGTGGGCGGTTTTCCCCAAAGGGCGGTGTTCCCCATCTTCCCCTATACCTACAGAAAAACGTTTTCCGCAAAAACTTCAAATTTTGTGTTTTTGCCTATGGAGGCTAAGCCGTTGACATGTCAAATTTGAGAGCATTATTCAGAAAGAGCTTTGAAAGAGCTATCGAATGTTTTTTTTTTGTAACCATGTACAGGGTGTCCGGAAATTATCTGCCCCTTGTTCATTGAGCTATAATCCACCTGTGCGCTTAAAGAACTGTTGAAAATTTGCTCAAACCGTGCCTAAGGCTATCCACAGCTGTCCGTTAGTCACATGACCTAACCCGGTCACCTGACCTTGACACGTGAGAGGCGCCAGGGGCCAGCGTTTGGCAGGCGTAACTCGCACCTTAACGTGGTGTCTTCTGTGACGAAAGAAATTCTTTGACAAAGCGTCATCGCGCTGAAGTTATGATGAAGACTGGAATGAAGTAGGAAGTCAAATCGATTCCTCTGTCCTAATCCCAATCGAAAACCTATGGGGAATCATGAACGAGGAGTTCAGCAAGATTGAACCAGCTCCCACAGTAAAGAGACTTAGAGGAACCTGTGAAAGGTGTGGCTCAGCATCAGCGCGAATATTCTGGACATCTCGATCTATGGAATACCAAAGCGGATGAGGGAATGGGTAAGACAGGGCAGGGGATAAATCGGTCAATAAACCATGACCCGGGGGCTGTTTGTTTATTAATTATGGCGGCGAGATGGAGGGGTAAATAATTTACGGACACTCTTTATATTACCTGCAGCCGTAGCTGTAGCTTAGCTAAAGCTCTATTGTTTCCAGACTCATGCGCCGCTTTGTGAAAAGCTGTTCAGCTCGGGACCAAAATTCGTGATAAATTTTCTTTTGGTGACCTTCAGTGACCCCAGCGATGACCTGATCGAAAAATGATCTTATTGCATAGGCGGCGGAACGGGGGGGGCACCGGGGCACCGTGCCCCCCTTGGATTCTGCAAGGGGGGCACCAATAGCAAGGTGCCCCCCCTTAAATTTGATGTATTAGTACCAGGGGCGGATTCGGGAAAACTCGGGAAATTCGGGAAAGGGGAGGTTCATGAATCGAAGTGGTGCCCCTACCTATGCCCAAAATTAAAACCTCAACGGATTTCGGCCACTTAATTTTGGTGGTGCCCTATTTTCATTTTTTTTCTTTATTTTTGGTTAGTCATGTGATGACTGGTGCCCCTGCTAAGCCGCTGGTGCCCCTAGAAAGACTGTGGTACCTACCTACCCTGCCCCCTGACAAGCCTACGGTGGGCCCTGACATGACTTAGGTGCCCATGGGCCCTGACAGGCCCGTGGTGCCCCTGACAGGCCTGTGGTGTCCTTGCTAGGCCTGTGGTGTCCCTGGGCCTTGGCAGGTTTGTGGTGCCCCTGTTAGAACGTAGGTGCCCTTGACAGGTTTGTGGTGCCTCTGACAATCCTAAATTGCCAACGACAGGCTTGTGGTGCCCTTGACAGGCCCATGGTGCCCTTGCAAAGCCGGTGGTTCCCCTGCGAAGCCGATAGTGTCCCTGACAGGCCTCTGGTGCCCCTGGCAGGTCTGTGGTGCCCCTGGAAGACCTGTAGTGCTTTTGCTAGGCCGATGGTGCTCCTGACAGGCCTGTGGTGCCACTGACAGGCCCGTGGTGCCCCTGCTAGGCCTTTGGCACCCCTGGCGGGCCTGTGGTGCCCCTGTCGGCTGTCAGGCCTGTGGTGCTCCTGGCAGCCATGTGGTGACCCCAGGCCCTAAGTCATGACACATGTGACCTCCACCCTGGGATTCGCCACTGATTAGTACTGCGATGGCTTCTTGGGAATTATACATGTAGGATAAATGGAATTTATCAAACGACAATAAGGAAGAGACAAACACATAGGTACTTGAGGATCAGCTTAAAGTTAACCACACATACGGGCAGGGGTGTAATTTTCCTAAAATGATTGTGGGTGCCCAGCTGTAGGGGCGCCCGGCGCCAGGCCGTTTTGGGGCGCGATAGATATTCTTTATGTGGGAGCCTAAATTAACACCGAATTTGATAACATTGCTAGCCGAATGGCGCTTCAAGTGACGTGTCTGACTAAGCAAATACACGCTTAAAAGTGGAAACTGACCGGAAGGACGTAAAAATATGTAGAGAGGCGCCATCCAGTAGGAGGGGCACCAAATGTGGAGGCGCCAGACGGTTACGACTTACGAGGGCGCCGTGAGACGATGAAAAGGGCGCCATTCTCTTAGGAGGGCGCCGAGTGATTGAAAACGCTATGTGGTCTAGGGGCGCTAAGAGGCCAGAAGGGCACCGCACAGTCAGTAGTGCTACGTTGGTGGGGACGTGGGGGCGCCAGATGGTTACGAGGGCGCCTTGAGATCATGAAAAGGGCGCCATTCTCGTAAAAGGGTGCCGAGTGATTGAAAACGCTATATGTGGTTCAGGGGCGCTGAGAGGCCAGAAGGGCGCCGAATAGTCGAGGGATGCACGGCGAACAGAGACCTAAGGACGCGAGACGGTCAGGAGGGCGCCGTTAGACCATGAGAATGGCGCGGTGCTGTCAAAAGTGCGCCATTCTCCCAGAAGGGCGCCGAGTGATGATTAAAAACGCTATCCATGCTCGGGGTTACATGAGCAGAGTTAATACGCATTACAAACGGACTACAATGGTGAGCGAATAGGAAAATCCGTTCCTGATACGCATTTACTTGCTCATGTAACCCCGGTACATGAACGCGAGACGGTCAGGAGGACGCCGTTAGAGCATGCGAAGGGCACCGTGCTCTCGAAAGGACGCTTGCAGCCTTGTAAAAGACTTGTGGGTGCTTTTTCATCATTGTGGGGGCATAATTCAGGATTGTGGGTGCATATGCCCCCACAAAGAGATATAAAATTAGGTACACCCCTGCATACGGGGGTGAACTGCCATTTTCGTTTAGTAAAAAAAAATAAAAAAATCATCGTGTCAGGGCTGTGACGAAAAATAAGTGGCCTAAATCCGATGAGAAAACAGGATTTGGGGGTACCCTAGGTTTGGCTCCTTGAGCCATGGTGCCCCCCCTTGTCTCAAATCGTTCCGCCGCCTATGTCTTATTGGTTCTG